GTGAGAGTGAGAGTGAGAGTGAGAGTGAGAGTGAGAGTGAGAGTGAGTGAGTGTGAGTGGCTTGGGTGGAACCACACCAGGTTCACCTGCAACGAAAAAGGCATAGACAAGTAGAGATCGCTCTAGATAGAAACCAAGCTGTGCCAAAACTACCCGGTGGAACCACGCCAGGTGCGTCGGATAGAAGAATAGCTGGGTGTAACCGCACCAAATCGCTCTTGGTGTGCTGATCAGTCTAAAGAAAAGCACACACATGAGAACAAGCGTCAGACCACGCAGCGCTTGAGTGAGTGCGCGAGTGAATATGAGCGTGAGTGAGAATGAGAAACCATATAAGTGAGAGAAGCGTGGGTGTTCTAAGTGCGAGTGAGAGCGAGAGAGTCAGAGTGAGAGTGGACGTAGTCAGCGTAAGAAGACAGAGGTCAGATCACCAAATTAAATGCTGTGCCTGCCACGAAACCTGTACTTCGAGGTTCACCAAGTACGTGCTGCGCCTGCCACGAAATCTGCACATCGAGGATCACCAAGTGCTGCACCTGCCACGAAATCTATACTTCGAGGGTCACCAAGTGCTGTACCTGCCACGAAATCTACACTTCGAGGTTCACCAACTGCTGCACCTGCTACGAAATCTATACTTCGAAGGTCACCAAGTGCTGTACCTGCCACGAAATCTACACTTCGAGGTTCACCAACTGCTGCGCCTGTCACGAAATCTGTACTTCGAGGTTCACCAAGTGCTGCACCTGCCACGAAATCTGCACATCCAGGGTCACAGAGTGCTGTGCCTGCCACGAAATCTGCACTTCGAGTGCTGTACCTGCCACGAAATCTGCACATCGAGGGTCACAGAGTGCTGTGCCTGCTACGAAATCTGCACTTCGAGGTTCACCAATTGCTGCACCTACCACAAAATCTGCATTTCGAGGTTCACCAAGTGCTGCACCTGCCACGAAATCTGCACTTCGAGGTTCACCAAGTGCTGCGCCTGCCACGAAATCTGCAATCGAGCCACATGTCCAAAAGTCACGATTCACTGCACCTGTCACGAAATCTCAGCTCCTCGACGATCACCACCATGTCCAAAGCGCTGCACCTGCCACGAAAACTGCATTTCGAAGTAAAACAGCTCCCATCCCTTGCACCTGTCACAAAAAGTCGACACGAGGTTTCCCTTGTGCCTGCCACGAAAAATGACCACCATGTTCCGAAATGCGCACGACACCACAACGAGAGCGCAGTCGCCTGAAGCACCCGCCGCGGACACCCAGATTCAGCGAGCCTGCGCGGTCGAAGTGCACATGGACGATGTCGAGAGTCATGAATGTACTGTAAATAGCAGCGAATTAGCCGGACACGCCCGCGCGGAACAGCGATCTAAGCACACCTTCCTTTCTCCTACCGTAAGAACCCCTCAGTGTGCCCACACTGTTTGGGGAAAAAATGTATAGACCATTTCTGTTTGCCTTTGTGTTGTACTATATATAATATATATCTATACGGTCTATACTGTACAATGCTTTTATGTGTGTTTTTTGTCAAATTCTCTTTTGGGGGGTGAGTTCTTGGACTTGGGAAAGAACGTCTGGACAGGTACAGGTATGAGAAACCATGGATTCAACCCTAAGAACCAAGCCCGACCTTATGGAAGGGGCTCCTTGCTTATCCTTGGTTGTCGGTTTGATTGTTTGTGCTTGCCATCCAGCAACACATGATGACGCAGAATCAGAAATTGCAAGCAGGATACATCAGTCAGATTATTTCAATGATGCAACCACGGTCCCCTGAGCTCACATGATGTCTTTCCATTTGCTTGTGTTTTGCGCTGAACTCACAGGTCTTCTAGGAAGACCATTGACCTTGCAGCCCCCCAATTGCAGCTCCTTGTATCTATGTAACATCGCAACACATCCTTGTTGCCCGGTTTTGCCGAAGAAAACAAAAAAAAGGCACCAAGTGGCGCCTTAAGTCGCCTTGGCGTCACCCTGCGTCTCCACTCTACGCCTCGAGACGACCGGTCGTCACCGGTTCGCGGCTAGGCCCATCCCGGTGCCTGCCGTTCCAGGCTTCGATGGGCGGATGGATTCTTTGGGGGATCGATTTTTGCTGGTCTAGCAGACCAGAAGAGGGGCCCAGCAGAAGAGGGATCCATGGATGAAAACAGGGGCCCAGAAAAACGAAGTCTCTCATTTTCGTTCACAGTTGTGCTGATCTCATTCATCTTCATCCTGCGCCTGCCAGTCAATGGCACACAAGTACTACCACTCGCACAGGGAGGCTGGTCGAGAGGGGAAGGGGAGGAGTGCGTATTGGGGGCGAGAAAAGCCTTGCTGCGACGGATGGTTCATGTGCAGGTGGCCCAGACGGCTATGAGAACCAGCATTTTCAAGAGCTGGTGTGGCGGACGGCTGGCAAGGAAAGGGTTATACTTGAGATCTGAATGATTTCTGATTAGAATTGATATTCTCGTTTAGAGGGTTTCCCCCGCAGGACATGGAAGCACCGGGGGTGAGTATTTCTGGCCATTCTTAGTTGGTGGAATGGTTTGGCTAAGTACGATTTCCCACTGTTTCCATTCCATTTCTGGTTGCTGTGCCAAGTTCGCTGCAAGTCATGCATCGCGGCCCCTCTTAGGCCTTTGATTTCCCGAAGAAACAGACAGTTGCATATGGATTTGAATGACGTGAAGAGAAGAATACACCATGATGTTCCCCATAGTTTCCAGAAGAAAAGCTTCTAAAAAGTCCGCTCCTGATGTTGCCATTGATGTTTTCCCCCAAACGAACGGGCCGATAGCTGCTCGTTGGACAGCGGCCCGACGGTTACCCTGCTCCAGGTCAGATGAGCGGCTCCCTTTCGGTACCCATCAGCCGACCAGGCCAAAAAGGAACGTGGAGAACTCCCCCGGGGAGAAGGGCGCCCAAAAGGGTGCAAAACGGTGTTTGAAGGTGTTTCTGTCAAAAAGCCAAAAAGCAGGTGGTTGCTTCATGTGGTTCATTGATAGAAATGGATGGATGCTTCGACCTTTTAAAGACTTTTTGTTGGTTTAAAGTCGTTGGTCGACTGAGTCTCCGTTAGAATGTTTCGTGATGTGGGTCCGTTGACTGCACTGTGTGGCAGTCTCTATGACTGAATGACCGACAGCACAGACGCAGAGGAGCTGTGATGGGCTCTTGAAAGACGTTGATCAAAAAAACAGAGATTGCCAGGGAGGGCTGACCGGCGAGTCTCTTTGCCGGCGTGTCTTTGTCTAAGATGGTTTTCCATGTTTTCTCTATCTCGTTGGACGTGTTGGTACAATAGTTGCAACAACTATGTATATGTGTGTTTTCACCCTGTCAAGCGCGGGTTGGTCCCAGATCTGGTTGCATTCCTTTGCTCCATAGGGGCGTTCTGTGAAAAAGTACTATCTACCGATGGGGCGTGGTGCTGTGCTCCGAATCGTGTGCTCCGACTTCCATGTCGTGTGCTCCCTGGAATCCCCACCAATGCAGGTCATGGCAGCAAAAGATCAGGACCTGCGTCCGGACCGACCACCGACCGCTGACCTGACATCCTGACCGACCGACCTACTGACGCGTGGCCTAGCCACTCCAGTGCCCGTGTACCGCTGCGGAAGGCCCCTGCGTCAATGGCACAGTGCCAGGTGCGAGAGAGAGGGAGAGAGGAAGGTAGAGAGGTAGGTGGTGAACTGTAGCGATGCTCGAGGAGTGCTCTAGCATGTGCCTGAATTAATCTCAACAAGGGAATCATGGTTGATGTAGAGTGCAAAGCCGTGCAAAGCTCTGAAAACCGTTTGCCATCAAATTGAAGAGATTGGAAGCTGCAAATGGAAGAGATTGCACTCTGGAAACCGTTTCAATTGAAGAGATTGGAAGCTGCAATCCATTGTGAACAATCCATGCCTGTGATCCCATGCCGCTTGGAGCCGTTCGATCATCGGATCAGATGGAGCCGTTGTAAACGGGTCTCCCAAACCGACTCGACCACTCGACCACTCGATCTGGAAAGATGTAAGTCTAAAAGTATCTCAAAGTGCTGAATCATGGTGCACCTGAACTATACATGCAAGACTCAATGCAAGCCCAGTTTGCTTCATCAGTTTTGGAGTGATTTTCAGACAGTTGTTTTGGTATGTTTTGGTTCTTGCCGATGTGGACTATTGAGCAAATAGGTTTCGTGGAGACGATTCCAAGCTGGACCCATCCATTCTATCGAACAAATTAAAGAAGAATTGTCTCAAACATGGATTGGCTTAATTCGGATCTTGTTAAATCTACAAGTATGTGTGGTGGAGAAAGTATGTGTGGTGGAGAGACAGTGCTTCGCACTGGAGGTGGGGTCCACTCAAAACCCCTGGTGTTTCGATCAACATTGACTACTTGACCCTACTTGACAGTACTTGACACTACCATGCATCAAAGATGGAGACCAACGTTCAGAGGTTCCTCCGTTGAAGCCTCCACGCACGTCTCATCGTTCACGGCTCACCTTCTCACGGCCAGGTCTCGCTGGATCGATGACGATTCCAGGAAGTCCAGGCGCGGTGCACTGGCGTCCTTTCAACAAGTGGGGGGCCCCCGGATGGTCCGACTGGGGCCGATTGGAGGGTTTCGGGGTTCTGTCCTGAAGGGAGTCGGAACGCCGACTGGAGGTCTCCTATTTGAGCTACACACCCACGCGGCGCTATGGTGGTTCAGGTACACTCCGACTTGGTTTGTAGAGGACCAAACAGCATCGTGGAAGCGGTGGACAATCCGCGGCTGTCGACATGAGGACCATTGCCCTGCCCCTCGCCAGGCAACATGGCTGGTTCGATGAGACTTCCGCTAGCGGAAGGCTGGGCATATGGGGCAGATTGGTTTGGCCATGCGCCCAAAGATCATGACGACTGAGAGTCTGAGAGAGGACTGCCAGTCACTCACTGAAATCAGGATAAATCAGGGCATCCATGGGCATGCACTAGTATATTGAAATATATGAATACATAGACTTCCTGGCCCAAGTGGTAGACTGGTCTATAGGAGATGTTGCTGGTGTAAGGTCTCCCTGTTTGAGCTACGAATGATCTACAAACTTACAAAACCAACCGTTTTTTCTCAAGTGTCCAACACTAATTCCAGCACCGATGCATGGGAACGTTCCTTTCCAAATACCACCAGACTACACTTCATGTTGCGTATTATACACGTATGCATGTTATCTTACGTTCTTTTTCAGTAAGAGCGTCTTCTGGTGGCCTTTTCCCGGTCAGCTTTCCCCGCTCTGCGACATCGCCCCCCCCCCACCGGCAGAATTGGCGGGCTCGATGAGAATCCCGTCCAGCCCGGGGCGTGCTGCAGGCATGGGGGCGAAGAGTCGGGTTCAACGACGTGAACTAGATCGATGTTCGAAAAGTCGCCAAAAACCGGTACAGTAACATGAACAGCAAAGGCAGTGACCGACGTCAACCAGACCTTTAGTCCGATCTTGAAAACGTGGGAAGGGTTGAGAAGATGGGGATAGGTTCAACAAAAAAGCAAAAATAGTCTTTTAAAAGACAATAAGCATCAACAAAATAGTCCCTTAGTCCTTTTGGTTCCTTGATCCCCCTGGTCCCTTGGCCTAATCCTCTCTTGGTCCCTTGGTTCCCCTCATCCCCTCGTCCATTGGTCTCCTAATCTTAATTGGTCATCATCATCAACCACTTCATTTTGAAGGTGGTTCGCCGGTTCGCAACACTAAGACAAGAGCCGAGCACAGCGCACAACGGTGCAGGAGCGCATCCATGAAGACTGCAAACTGGAAGCAGATAGGCAAAACGCACAGCAAGTGACCTGTTTCTTCCCTGTTTTGCCACAGTTGGGGAGTTTTGGCCAACACCAATCCCATTCGCCAACTCCGAGCCCGCTGACGACCGGATGTCTCCCCGCACCTCGGAGTCCGCGAGGCGCGGTGGAAGCACCTCATCCAGGCCAGCGACTGACAGAAGTCTGAAGTGTGTGTGTGTGTGTCCACCCCTGGACAAAGGGCTCTTTACCACCACCTCGTTTCCACCCAACCTCGGCAGGGGGGCAGTGAATCTCATTCCATCCACTGCCCAACGAAGACGGTGGTTTGAGATTGTGAAATGACTCCGGGACGCTGGAGTCACGTACCTGCCAAATGAACTTTTGAACAAGCTGTCCAATTTGATCGGTTTGTTTCCACGGTCCTTCACGTTTCCTCCCCCTAAACCGTCTCCTCCCCAGCAGCGCTGCAGCCTGAGCCGCCCCGTCACCGCAGTCAAGGGAAACAACTTTGTTCAAACACCTACAATTTTCTCGGACTTTTCGCCATGCTGTTCCACCGCCATCCTTCCCATCGTGGTAACTGAGTTAACTGAATACAATTGTCAGAGTGTGTTTCGCTCAGCCGTCCCACTCGGGTGCTGCGTGTGATCCCCGTCACAGGGGCGCTGTTTTTGCATAGGAAATCACCCACCTCAACTTACCACCTACCACTGGATTTCCACTGGAAATCATTGACACATCCATCGAATCAACTGATGCATTGGCCGCCGGGCCCAAACACGGCAGCTTTTCCTCCACGGAATTTTGCAGACTTTTGTAGCGTCTTGCAAGGGTTTTGCATGATTTTGCATGTATTTGCCTTTTGACGTGTGACATGACTTTTCCGCAAGAAGAACTCAAGCCCGCATACCGGAGTTCTCAGATCTAATTCGAGATGCATGACCACACCCTACAACACTTCTACATTTTACATCAAGCTCAAAAATCAGGGACTCCACCACCGCCGGGAGCCAGCGCTTGGCTCTGTCAGGCCTCCAATCCAGACTTCACACCATTCGAAAATACACATTTCCACCCTCCAGCGCTGAAGCTGCAGCCGCCGAGCTAGTGAGGCTCTATGTCCAAAAAGGACACAACCACCACGCCTGCCACCGTTTTTTGAAAAAAGCGCCGAAGCCGGCGATTTGTGTGTGTCCACCCCTGGACAAAGGGCTCTTTACCACCACCTCGTTTCCACCCAACCTCGGCAGGGGGGCAGTGAATCTCATTCCATCCACTGCCCAACGAAGACGGTGGTTTGAGATTGTGAAATGACTCCGGGACGCTGGAGTCACGTACCTGCCAAATGAACTTTTGAACAAGCTGTCCAATTTGATCTGTTTGTTTCCACGGTCCTTCACGTTTCCTCCCCCTAAACCGTCTCCTCCCCAGCAGCGCTGCAGCCTGAGCCGCCCCGTCACCGCAGTCAAGGGAAACAACCTTTGTTCAAACACCTACAATTTTCTCGGACTTTTCACCATGCTGTTCCACCGCCATCCTTCCCATCGTGGTAACTGAGTTAACTGAATACAATTGTCAGAGTGTGTGTCTGTGTGTGTGTCCACCCCTGGACAAAGGGTCTTCCACCACCACTCTTTCCATGCTTTTCAACTACCTTGGACAACCACCTTATATAGGCAGGGGAGTGGAGCAGGCCTGCAGAGCTCCACTTAACAAAGCTCTCTGCAGTGTCCTGAGGATATCGGCCAGGACGCTGGCCGACGTACCTGCTCGTTCTTTCACAAGCTGTTACACCACTCTTCCGCGTTTTGTTTCATGGTCCTTCATGTTTCTCCCCCTAAACCATTTCCTCCCCAGCAGCGCTGCAGCTTGAGCCGCTTCGTCACCGCAGTCAAGGGAAACAACTTTTGTTCAAACATCTACAATTTTCTCGGACCTTTCGCCATGCTGTTCCACCACCTTCCTTCCCAGCGGAGAAATTGAGCTTTAACGGAAAACCAGTGTCGAAGTGTCGAAGTGTGTAAAAAGTAGCCGCCTTGAAGTTTGTTTTTGAGTGCTAGCATGTTTGTCTATATACATAAATATGTGTATATATATATATTATAGTTATATACATCGTAAGCACTTCATACCCTGTTGGAAAGACGGGCTATGAGACGCGCACCGGTTGCAAGGGTTCCGGCTTTGAACATCACGTTCTTCGTGTTAAGGTGGAATGTTGCCTTTCGTGGGAGCCACCCCAACACTTTGTTGGAAAATGGTGGATTGGTTTTTACCTCGGTAAATGTCCCGAATCTCTGAGTCTGAATCTTTGAAGGAACAAAGATATAGATCATCATTCTACATGTTTTTACGTCTAAAAAAACCGCCTCATGGTGAAGATGCTCAAATCCTGGAAGTTCATCCATGGTTTTTCAACGAACGCTCCCGTCATGTGGCTGGCTTCGAGGCCATGCACCGCCCTTGTGGGCGGCACCTGCGGCACCTAGAGGCGGTACGGGATCGGGAGGTCCAACCCGGTAGCCTGGTCGAAGGGGATGTCCAACCCCTTCGAACATATGTCTTGGTGTGGGTTTGGAACCGACACAGCCAACAGAGGGTGAAGAACCCTTGTTCGACTATCCCAGCTCGGTACCCCAGTAAGGTCCTATAAGGTCACTTAACCTCTCTTGGAGGGTTTTCACCAAAACAGATCTGACAGGTCGCAAATCTTGTGACCTGTGAAATTGGTGCCTCAAACTCGCTGGCATGTGAAAAAAACAAAGACGAGTATCTGAAACCACCCACCCTTGCATGGTCATGAAAGAAGTTTGACCAGAGACAAAACACAGTTTGTCATTCAAGTGGCCCTTCTGCAGAACACATGAAAAACGTTGCACCTGACGAATTTGTGATATGTGATGTTGGTAAATGATCCGGTGATATGTTTTTCCTCCATTCCAATGGATGGATGGGATCGAAGTCTCCAGCTGTGAGTCACGTGTCGTTTTCCTCGGGTTTCTCTCCGACGCGATCGAGATCGTCGGGTGACCGACCGACGTGGCAACCGCCCCCGAGAGACATCGGGGGTTTCCCCGAAGCGAAAGAGACTCCGGTTTCAGATCTTCAATGTCGCTTCCGAAACACAGCAACTCCCAGCTGGGACGCGCTTGATGCTGCGCCCAGCCAGTGACAGTGCCCTTTTTGGTCGGCCTGGCCATGTAGAACCGGAGACGAGGGGTGTGTGGATATATGTGTGTTCGAATGTCTACATTCATGTGTCCAGGTATTTAATCCAGGGGGTACAAAGGTACACATTCCTTGGGCTCCCAGAATTGGTTGAAGGGAAAATCGACAGGAAACCCATATGTTTGACGACCATCAAGATGCAAGATCACGTCTGAAGGCTTTGGTTCACATTCACATCTGAAGACTTGCTTTGTCACGATGTCGGTGGCCGAGGTGCAACCTGATGATCTTATTCGGGTTTTGTGGTTGAATGGCGATGTCTTTTGCCCGACGGATGAATCCTTTTCTGGAGAAGATGTTCCTTTTCCGGTTCGGTTCCCAACTGGACCAAGCTTTCCGCCCCCCTCCCCTCTCTCTCACCTCTTCCCAAGTATGCTTCTGAGCCCAAAACAAGTCTCCAACGGTTAGATGTTTTCTTTTGGAACCTCTTGCAGGTAGTCTGCCTGGCGCTGTGCCACTTGCAGCCACTGCGCCAGGCACTATGGACCCCCACCTCCGGCTGGGATCGTCCCTTGGTTCCCCCTGTTTAACATGACTGCGCGCGGAGGATCACATTGGTGCACGTTCCTAAACAGGGATCTGCTTTGTCGAGGAAACCCTGCAGGAAGATGCACAGTTAGATCATCACATTGATCATCTCCTGGAAGACATGTTCACTAGAAACATTTGCAGAAACATGTAGAACCCCCTGCTGTTTTGCTCGGCAGCCGTTGTTGCACTAGACAATCATCCACCATGGTGGGGAACGAAGCCCTTTGAGAAAATGTTGTTACACCCCACACCCTGGCATACGTTATACGGACGAATCTGTGACCTACTTCCTCATATGGGTTTTCTTGTCGATGGTAACTCCCCCACTATAGTGCATCTTCAGCTCCCTCTCACTCTCTCTCCCTCTCTCTCTCTCTCTCTCCCCCTTCCTTCCCTGGTAGAATGTTCCGCTGTTAGCAGTGCTGGGACACCCCAATCTTTACCATCTTGCTGTTTTTCCGTTGGACCCATTCTTTCATACCACTTTCGGCGGGGATGACGTTGCAGTTCCCATTCTTCGCTATTGCTGAAAGGTCTGGGCACCAGGGCAGCAAGATGTCCCAGCATTTGGGCAGGGGACGTTGCTCAGGTTGCAGCTTTCATCAACGTGCCAAGCAGTTGAGACCTGTTTGGACGTGTTTGGACCAGCTTCGCCAGGCTATTTGGCCAACCCTTGCGCTCCCACTAGCCCACCACCAGGCTCAGGCCTGGCGGGTCGTGAAGGCGTCGGCTGGGTGAAGATCATTCCGGTCTCGGCATGAGACCTGAGTAGATGGCACAGTTCTTTCCATAAGTCATCAGAAGCATAAGTGAAGTGACTCATAAGTGCAAACTGCCATCGTGCCCGTCGTGCCCAGTGTTTTTTTGGTGTGAGGGGCACGTTCTGTGCGATCATCTCTGAACTGACTAATGAGTCGACCGGACTCTGACAGTGTGCGGTTCACGAACAAGGCTCGTGGATGGTGTGGCAAACGATTCAGATCGGAGCACGTATCCCTTTGAGGGAAGTTCCAGCATCCTCGGCAAGCCTAAACCAAATCACGGCAGAAAAAGAACCGACCGAAAACCCAGAGGAAAAGAACAGCTCGCGCGAGCAGCCTTGTGCGTTTGCCTTTTCTTTTTGTCCCAGAAAGGTCAAACCGAGTGTCTTCCAAGCGGCGAGTCCACGCCACCAGCTCAATCACAGATGACCTACAGCCTTGGTTGGAGCTGATCTTGCCCAACCTGTCGTGTATGTACAACCAGTCGTTCGGTTGATGGCAGTGGCAGGATCTTCCCTCCCCCCGAACTCCACCAGATCGAACCAAACCTCGTCGCACTGACCCCAGGACGGCCCATCTTCGCGCGGAGCGTCACGCCCCCGGCGGCACCGGCCGGCCCCTACCAGGGCCGCTCGAATGCAGAGGAGGAGGTTATGGATCTCGGTGAAGAGTAGAAGGGGCACCCACAACAGCTCTAAAATCAATGGAAGTCTGTTGAATTCCCTCTTTTTTGAGGTGTCAATGAGAGAAAAGAACCCCGGTTTTGGGGGGAGGGTTCCTCATTTCACTCGCCTTGAGCCCGTGGGAGTGAATGAGAAGATGACATTTGGGCGGGACATGGATTTGTTGATCTCATTCGACTTCTTGAAGATGTGCCATCGAACAACGAAGTCGCCCAATAAAGAGGGCTCGTGAGTCGTGGCGTACAACGAAGTCGGTGACAGACAGGAAAACACCCGCCATGTTCGCACCACACTCCACACTCCATGGTGACAGTGAAATGGGGTGGTGCCTTGCCTCAAAAGACCGAGCCTTGCCGGCCTACCTCAGTCCGACCTCGGTCCGAGCAGAGGGTGGTGGGTTGACCGTTCAGTGGACCCGGCGAAACATCGATGGTCGGTTGTCCCAAAAGCAGCCGGCTGGCGATGGTCGGTAAGTGTGCTGCTGCTGCGTTCGATGGGTAAAGGAGTTCGATGAGCGACTCAAACGATATCATTCCATCAACTACAGTAATATGTAAACAGTCATATGACATAGTTCGACTGAGCTCATCAATTAGTCATATGTAAACATCTTAAATCTAAACTGTTTGAACAAACTAACTAATCTGAGTGTTTAACATATAGACTAGTCTACTCAACCTTCTCCTTTGGACATTCCGAAGATGGTTGGTGGACGTACCACCATGTGACCTCGAGTGGTTCGTTCTTGGAATCTCTTCAAGATGCTTTTCGCACCTCCGCGAAGAACACTTCGGATCTTCGCCTGTCCTAAATGATGCAGACGTGTTTTTTCTGTCCAACTCGACTAGGTTGAACACCTCCACAACCCGAGGTGTTTCGCCCCTGCCAGCGATGCCAGCCTTCCTGAAGAGGTGGGGAGTGGAGAGCGCGTCCGCGCATCCCGGATCCCGAGCACCCGCGGATCCCGACGTGAAGCGATAGCGCAGGGCGACAAGGGTTCAATGCAGATGACCATCATAGGCGGATTTGGGATGCAACGATCACCAAACATCCATGTTGATCGTCGTTGCGTTATCGGGTCTAGAGAGATCTCGGTTGCCACATGGCGGGATGCCGACGGTTTCGGGGGTTTCGCGAAGGATGGATGGAATTCTGGGGAGTGACCAGGGGGTTTAGGGAACGAACGCGAGCTGATGGTCTAGTAGAGCTGATGAAGAAGAATTGAAGGTGGACCATGAAGGGCAAAAGGTTGTACTCAGCACGTCTGCCGGCCTACAGGCTGACAGACCGGTAGTCTCATGTTCATTGAAAACAACTTTGATATGTTCCAGGCCCAGGGAAGACATGGGAAGACTGAGCTTCTCCGGAACCTTGCTTCTCCCAGTTGCTTCTCGAGGCCAGAGTCTCCCATGATGAACCACTTGCGGCGCTTGGGCGACTTGGGCGCCAATGAGGCGTCATGTAGAGCCTCCTAAGACTTGACCAACACGGACGGGAAAATGGTCTTCCAAGGCTAGCACTCCACCTCCAGGCTAGAACGTTGGTGGGATGGTAATGAAGAGCCCCAGGCGTGGAGAAGTTTCACGTGGTTGAATGGAGGGGGCTTCTCAATCAACCCTCTACATGATGGATACTATGCCAACCAGAAACCTAGGTTTGCGATGCTTCAATGCAACATATGGCACATTCATCCGATCAGCAGTGCACTAGTTTCAGCAGCAACATGCATCAAACATCATCCAACACCAATTCTCTTGTTTGATCAGGTCGTTTCTCATGTTTCCTACTGGAAATCCCAAAAACAAGGAAATCAACTGCGTGAGGAGTGTATAAAGTGTGCTTCCGCATATCTTCGAAAATCCGAGATTAAAGCCTCTCGTGTGGTTTGTTGAACGAAGGTATGTTTTCTTTCAGGTAGACCCAATTGAATCCATACCCGAGCAACCAACAAGCGACATCGTCAGTTCTATCCGCTGGAATATCTCAGGTGGTTCGTCAAAAGAGTAATGTTGACAAGTCTGGACTCTCTTGTTCAACCAATCTGTGCTTCAGTGGAACAGCCACCAAAAAGGCGGGCAAATCTCTGAACAAACTGCAAGAACACATGTGATAATTGACGAACCACCTGAGATATTCCAGCGGATAGAACTGACGATGTCGCTTGTTTGTTGCTCGGGTGTCCAAGATTGTTCATGTGTAGCCAATCTTGAATGTGCAAAGAGCTCGCTCCATGGTACTTGCATGTAATTGCGCAGGTGTCTGCAAAAAATTACCTAAGTGCATCTAAGTGCTAGTTTGCAAAGACTGGTTCATGATTGTCATGCATTCTCGGCTTTTTGGGGTGAATCTGCCTGAAGACGGTTTTTTCAGACGAGCAGGCCTGGTAGGTTCCCTGCGCCTTTTCGGAGAGTTGGCCGCAAAGAAGGCCTGTGGGCGTCCCAAAATTTGATTACGCACCCAAACCCTATAAATTTGTAGGGTCGATGGAAAAACCTAGGGTTTCTGAAGGAAACCCCAGGTTTTCCAAACCAATATTAAAATACGGGTTTAGTACGGGTATGTACGGGTTAAATATGGGTTTAGTACGGGTTAAATATGGGTTTAGCACGGTTTAGAAAAGCAAGACCCGAGGTTTTAAGAACAAACCTGAGGTATTTTTGATTTCACAAGAATACCCGAGGTTCCGATTGAGACCCTACAAATTTATAGGGTTTGGTTGCGTATATATACTGTGTTTGTTCCCATCTTTCGCAATTCGATCGGGGAGCAGCATTTCACTCAGGAACGATGAACTCCAGCCCCGAATACCAGCACTTGCTGAACATTGCGGCCTGGTAAAGCTGGTTTTCAAGGGGTCGCGGCATCAACGTCACCTTTAAAACACGTGCAGCAAGCCCAAATTGTACAACATGAGTCGTTTCAGTTCGCTTGATATTTTGCTGCTCTTGTTTCGAGCATCTTGTTTCAACCCGCGAAAGCACCAAACGTGGGTGAACCCTCCGAAGAAAAGCCAAGGGCGTCTGGCCGGCAAATCCATCCTGTTGGATTCGGAAGAGCGATGCCGAATGCTGAGACTACATCGCCACTCCATCTCGTTGGTCAGACTCCGTAGGTGGTCCAACCCCGTGGAGGGCAATGCCATACAGATCATACAGCTGCTACACAAGAGAAGACATAATAATAGCGATGGCCTCCAACCTACTAGCGATGGCCTCCACCCTAGTAGCGATGGCCTCCACATCTTAGAATCCACTTTGGTCTTTCTATGAGAGTTTCAGCGGTCATGTCGAACTCGCCTAGCTTGCACTGTTGCGAGACCGTGACGGATTCCTTGTGCGATTCAATTCGAAATCACACAGCTGACATAGCTGACATCACATAGCTGACATAGCTGTCCAGTACATGTCTTGGACAGTGCTCTATAGTCGACCATTCATCTTGCCGCATACCAATTTCAATGGTTTGTCTTGAAATTGCGCGTTACCGCGGGTTTTCAGAACTTGTTGCTCAACTGGGCGGCGCAACACCCGCGTTCCGCACACCCGCGGGTTTTGTCCACCACCCCGCACCGGGGGGTTCTTCCGGCTTCGCTTCGACGATTCGGGGCTCACAGGGCACTGGTTCGGTGTTGGCGGAGTTCGAACAGATGAGCTCTTGGGTTTCAAAGGCCCAGAATGGACCCCGCGATGCATGAGGTCATGACGCAAGAGCAGGCAAAGCAGGCCAGGCGAAGCAGACATGTGCGCCATGGGGCGGGTATCCACTGGGGTTCACCAGTGGTTCGTAAGTGGCTCACTTGACAGGTCTGGACCTCTTGAGAAGTTGGACCGAAGAAGTTGGACACATACAAGAGCTTGTTCAAAACTGATGTAAGCAATCCAAAATCGGAAAAGCTCCACATCGAAGTAGTTTGCTTCATTTTCCTTTCCACCATGAGCATCTTATATTATACAAGGTTGTTTAGAACACCTGCTGTGTAACCAGACATTGGACGTCCCAGTCCAAACCTCCTTGGACGATCTTGGACGTCCCATCGGCGTCACCGTCGCGTCCGCGTCGGTCTGCAGGAACTGCTGGAGCGCTTGGAGGAGACCGAGCGGCAACTGCAGCAGCTCCGTCTGGAGAATCAGCAGCTCCGGGGAGCGGGTGGCATGTGGCTCCGTCCGCAAGGAGCAGGGAGAAGGAGCGATTGGTATACGGCATCGGAAGGCAACGCAAGCTCTCTTCCTTTGAGGGGTTTGTGAAAACACGGGGCCAGCACTTTCAGAGTTGTTAAGATCCTGTGGAGATGGAAATGGTGGGAATTCTGATGGTCCTGAAAGGAATTTCTCCAGAACATTCCGAATGGCCCACCATGAAGGTGGGACCAGCCCATTCCTTCAGGGTGATTCTCATGTGGAAGGTCTGGAAGTGTGGAAGGTCTGTCTCGCGCGTGTGGAAGGCGTGTGTTTGGAAGACCTGGAACCGGTGCGACCCCAGAGTGCCAGTGTTTCCCACCGGTGCGACCCCTTGAGGCTGTCAGTGACTGTAAGCCTGGAATCTTCGAACTGCCGGACCGTGCCATTTCGGACCTTCACAACTGGCTTCTGAACCGGCTTCTGCCCCGTAGGATCGGCTTCCTTCCTAGTAAGGCCAGGAGCCCCGAACGTAGCGTCAGACAGCTCCTGCCGGTTGATCACCTCACCCAGCACCGACGTCTTCCGTCCCGGATCCGACTGCTGCTCGAAGCCGTTTCGACGTCGACGTCAGGCGTCGCACGGGCTCGACGGCGTCCAAGCTTACCATGGGCTCGGCCGGGGGCGCCGAGTGCGGAAGACGTCGCGTCGTTTGCGTGCCGGGACGAACGGAAAGGGGCCAGGAGTATGTTCAAAACCTTGAAAGGGAATATCCAACAGAGGTTAAGTCACCTGAACTAGCACCCTACAGGGGTACCGAACTAGGATAGTCTAGTTCGGGTTCTTCAACCTCTGTTGGATTGACTGGCTTTGGTCTCTGCCAAACGATCCTGTGAACGGTATGCCAGTATGCGAGTGGAGCCGCAACAGGTCGCCGAGAACAAGGAAGCGCCCGAGAACGCCTCGCGCGCACGGTCCGGCTCGATGAGGCGTCGGAGTGGACGCGGGGATGGCGGGGATGGGAGGGCGACAGACCGGACGACTGAAGGACAAGTAGTCCAAGGGGGTGATGGCGACTACAACTTCTGGGGGGAGTGCAAGATGTATGTTTGGGCCTATGTTTGGGGAAGAAGCATGGACAAGCATCCAGTTATACAATGTTATATACATGGGTAGGTGGTTGAGTACAGCGAAAACGCTGGACACCGGAATCCTGTTTCCTTGGCAGATCCACCCAAGGTGTGGCTGAACAATATATGCCATTGTTATTGTCAGCATCCATGCCGTTTTGAGCCTCTTTCTGTGACAGCTGGGTACAAGGTGTCGGTGCTGATCATGCAGTTCTGGCCTTTAGATTGAAACAATGACCACCATTTCGTGTGTCTCACTAGTTGTTGATGATCTTGTTGGGTCAAGCTGGACTTCGATGTGAAACCTGGGACTTCCTTCCCCCTGTCTCTCTGGCAGGAAGCGATCCGCGAAGGGAGTCGAAAGGATTCGAAAGGAAATCGTGAGCTGACCGTCGCGCCTCGTTGGAGACCCTCTGCCCCTCGACGGTCAGGAAGTCCCTTGAGGTCCGAGGCATGGTGAACTTCCGACTCGACTTCCCGAACGGAAAGCGAAGCGAAGCGATTCGCGGCCTGGAACGAGGATGCGCCGGAGCAATTCCTCGAGGCCACGCTTCACCGATGCCCTGGTGGTGCCCTTCTCCAACAAGGCAGAGTGAGGGCCTGGACGTGGAGGTTTGAAACTGGAACAGGGTCCCTCTCGGGCGATTGGACTGTGCAAAAGTCTCGGTTTCTGTGAACTCACAGGCGCCAAAAAGAACCAATGTCTTGGAGAACCCGAAATGGTGGGTTGAAGGGTCTCGGTTTCAAGGTCAGCCAATGTTTTTTGAAGCAAGGAACTTGGCAATGGCATCTCAGGAGGATTTGATTTGTGTCAAATTTGTGTCTTTCGTATCCAAAAGAAGTGTGATTCTAAAAGGGAGCGAAGTCTGATGCGTTCAAAAACCATTTCGACTGTACTTCTTGCTGCGGCCGCACTCCGCTGCACTCCGCTGCACTTCGCTTCTCGTTCGTTCTTCGTTCGTTCGTGTACAGGAAGGGCTACAGGAGAAGTATGCCGTGGAGTCTGGGCAAACGAACCTCTTCGGGCCCATCCCTGTAGAGGAAGGTTTATGTTTGTGGGGGGTGTTTGTGGCCTTGGTGGCCTTTGTATGTGCATGTCGTCAAGTTCAGGTGGGCACAGAGGTTCACAAAGAGTCCTGGAACACTGAATTCAGATGGTAGAAGCAGTTGTGTTTGCAGGGTCGCAGTAACTATTGAGATCTATATGTATGTGTTTTGTCCTTGGAATGTGCAGAGTTGCATCCCATTGGCGGGCCTACTACTAAATCCGGGCCCCCGAACTACTAATCCAATTTGCACTTTGTGCCTGTACCTGTCATCTAGCCACCACCTTTTTGCTTGGAAGAGTTAGGGCTTAGTTCCGATACAGCTAGGCACTAACCGTGATCTGACGGGTGTGTTCTCCTGAGATGGCTAAGGACTGGCAGACCTGTTTGCATGTTGGCACCCTGAACGGCTTACAGTCGGAAGCTCAGCTCTCGGTCTCGCCTCCACCGCAACGCCGAAACGGTGGGTCGTTACGGACGCCAGGGAGTTCAGAGTGGACACCTAGGTCTGGTGAAAATTTGACCATCAGCCGCTTCTTCAAAGGCAAGCGGTTTCTTGGAACTTAGAGGAGCTTCGAGGAGCAAAAAGATGCCAAAAGTGGAATTAATGCTCAAGCTCAAGCTTCGTGCTGTCGGTTTTGCATGTACCCGCATCCCTCATGTACGTTGTTTTTGCACTCTAACCCATCCTCCTCAAGACCCCCACTTTCATCAGTCGTTGTGTGGCCTGAGAACATTGTTGAGGTTTCTCATGCCTACCAGCATTGTTTCATTGCCAATCACACTACTCTTCGGTGTGTTTGCAGGGGGTGGCGTTTGTGTGGATGGGCTGTGGCCATTCACTTCTGAATGGAGACCTCAGTCAGGAAGAAATTTAAGAATTTAGGCTTCAAATTTATTGGCACTCTACCCGTTTGAAGGGTAAGGGGTAGAGTGGTTGCCGTCAGAGCGAGAGCGGGCTCCAGTATAAAGAGATGTCGCTCCAGTACAAGCACTTGTGTTAAGTCGTCTGGTCTTGTAGAAAGTCGTCTGGATGTTGCGTTTCCATTGGGGTTAGATGCAAGATGGCAATATAACTGGAAGAGCATTAGGTCAACAACATTGTTTGGATGCTGCGTTTCCATTGGGGTTAGATGCAAGATGTCACCCTCATTGGAAGATAAGCTTTGGAGTGTCACTTCAACACCATTGTTTGGAGCTCGAGCATCAGTGGAACATCTTATGAACAATAGGTTGATTTCTTGCAGCGATCACAGATTCAGGGCAAGCATATAGTCAGATTCGACATGCTTCGTCGGTTGTGGGATTGTTCTATGTTTTTGCCTTTCACTCACATGGCATGATTGGCTCAAATATTCTAGATGGAAGACCACGTTCCTGAAGAGAAACGTGCTTGCATCAAACGTTTGAAGCGTTTGTTCGAAGTGGCATCGTTACAAGAGCTGGAGGACACTGAGCGAGACTTGAGAAAGTCGATAGGATCAAGGGTTGGAAAGAGGAACAAGAAGAATCAAAACCCGACAGGCAGCAAGGCAGCACTGCCCTGTAAGCAGTGTGGAGGTGAAAGACCCCCTGCACAGTCCCCTGCTGCGTTTCCATGTGACCGGGTGACTTTCTGCAAACCCGGGTGACGAAACCCCAGCGCTAGTACAAAGGAATTTCTACCATGTTCTTGGCCGTGACTGACTCAATGCATGAAAGGTCCTTTGGGGTGGCAATCAATGCAAATATTTACTGGGGAGCCTGCGTTCTTTTCGAATCTGATACTGGCACGGTTGTCCACGGCATGTTCGGACTGTCTCAAACGTCAAAGAAGTGACAACCGCGACCCATGGTCGGCTGCATCCCATTTGCATCCAGCCATTTGGTGGGACAACGTCGGAAGTCAGGAACAGGCTATCAATCTGTCAATCCTTACTACCCAGACGCTCATGGACCGGGGGCCGTAACCTCATATGGAGCGGTCCGGACCCTCAAATCCCTAGGGTTTTGAGGGACCCGGAGCTGTTTGGAGCGTTTGGGTATGTCTGGACCTTGGGAGTGTTCTCGGTCTCAGAGTCCCTTTCACGCGGCAGGGCTACCACTCCTGCAAGGTGCCCTTCCGAACTGTTTGTTCCCCTTGCCTCCTTCTAGTACCCTTTGCCGCAAGCAAATCTGAAGCGACCAGCCGCGCGCGCCCCCGGAGGGAAGTCCAAGAGCAACTCCGCCCAGCGGGTGATCAAGGCCGTGCGAAAAGCCCAGGCCGCCTGCCGGTTCGACCGCACCGCGCCGTCGACCGGCCAAGAGCGATCGTGGCGGGATCGGTCGATGCGAGGCTCCTGGTGGACGTCCCCCAAAGAAAAAGGCTGTCTCCCAACAGAGGTAGCCAGTGACCGAAAATAGGACCCGTCACCTGGAGTACCGAACTAGGATAGTCTAGTTCGGGTTCTTCAACCTCTGCTGGCTTGCCGTCTCTTTCCACCTAAGACGATGTCCTCCAAATCGAGGCTGTGAGGCTTCCAGGAACTCAACGTACCCCGTGCCCGCGTGTGTGGCCTGACAGCCGATGGTCCGTTTCATTGAAGGTCGTTTGAGGCTTATCCAGCAGAGGTCGGTACTCCAGGTGACGGGTCCTATTTACGGTCGGTCACTGGCTACCTCTGTTGGATCTTTTTGTGCAAAGAGGTGAAACACTGGGAGGGCTTTGTGACAGTCTTTGTCACGTGCACCCCGAAGATCCTTGCCGGGCCGTGCCCCATGCGATCATATTGGTCAACAAGAGAGCAGAAAATGAGAAGATGGGATGAACATTGGCAACTTCAAAGGTTCTGGAGGTGTTCAATTGCTGTTTAGATCTATTGAATGAACAGCTCGATGGTGCAAATGTTTATTTAAAACCCCTCAAAGACCAGGACTACAAAAGTTGCGGCTCCTCCATGCACCTCCTCCATGCACCTCCGCCGGGCCGGGGGCCGTCGACGACATCGGTGTTCAGGTGCCTTTCTTCCGGCTCTTGGAGCAGCACATCGGCGACCAACGTGCCTTAGATCATCCTCACCTCTGCCACTCGGGACATCGAAGAAGTGTGTCGACGCGGGTCACAGGGAGGGGGGGAAAGTCATGTGGTTCAAAGAAGAATGTCCCAGAGGACAGGCGCGGATCCATTCCCTGCAGTGTCCCTGTGGCCGGTTGACTCGCTGCGTTGGTCCTTCGATGTTCGGCACCGCAGTGCACGCGACTTGAGGGGGAAAAAATCACAGGTCCAAACCACCCCACGGGTCACTGGTGACCCCCTTCTTGCTCGGGAGCTGCGAGAACGTTTCACCACCGCGTTTGTCGCAGAAACCGTTCCCGCGCGGGGAAATAAGGCCGCTTGCATGATGCCTTTGAGGATGAGCAGCACGTCTTTCAAGTCTACGAGTGCCTGGGCAGACATCGAACTTGGACGAGAACTGGACTTGAACGGATGGGTGTATTTCGTCTATATGAAATAGGGGGTTCAGCCCTCCTTACCACACGTTTTATGTTGGTCACCCTTATGGTAGTAGTCGGCATCACGGTCTTTCTGAATCCCAATGACTCAGGCTAGTGAATCAAGCTGCAGGGATGGTTTTTGCTCCTCTTTTCCCCAATCTTTGTGGTGATCTGGGATCCAGATGGAATATGGAACGCTTGCTCCGCCAGTGATTCTCGACCCATCCCATCAATCTCCCTCCCCACGGGTGAGGACACCATTCAAAAACCATTCCAAAAAGGTTAAATTGTTCACCGATTCATGCACCTCCTAGTAGTTCCCTCCCACCATCCATCATCCAACTATTCCAAGATCTGCACTTTCAGTGGAAGTAGCCACATGCAACCACCCACCCTCAAACCCGCTGGGCAACGCACCAGACGAACAGGTTCCTTTCTGGCCCTTCACTGCTGGAGAAGATCCTCTCCGACGTGCAGTTCTGCGAGCGCGACGCGGCGGCGGCCGCCTGGCGACCGGTTGAGCCCATGCGGCGTGACCAGTGAGCCCGGTGAGCCCATGCGGATCGTTTTGGAGGAAGTGGAGAAGGGAAGTACCTGGGTTTCCCCACTCCCAAGGAGAAAGAAAATGGATGTTTTTGTTGAGTCCCAGCCATTTCCTTATGAAAAGGATCTCAAGCTAGAGCCGGAACAACCAGGACTGTTTCTGGTTGTTTTGGGGTTCTCAGGTAGATGGTTTTGGGAAGAACTGGATCGGATTCTCCCTTGTCCGCATTGGTCGGCCCTCGGAGTTGAGACTTCAGAATAGGGGGAATGATTGGGTCAAAGCAGGATTCACCAGAAAACATCGAATGGTTCCAACTGCCAACTGATACCTGGTCATTTTGGAGTTTGCTCAAACTGCAAACTGAAACGAAAGAGGACATCCCAAATTCATCCAAATTCGCCTAAGTTTGGTCTTGTGTTTTGCTTGATCAATCCAAATCTACTTGCGCACAAATATTCTCCTTCCGCCTTTTGTGGCACCAGTTGAATCAGATGTGTTTGATCTCGGTTTTTGGTGGTACATCAGTGACTCCAAACCTGGGATGTCAATATATTAGATCAATAAGGTGTGCAAAAACACATAAAAAGCCATCCGAAGATTGCAGTTCACGATCCGCTGAACTCCGAAGAGAACTCTCGTGAGACAGAAAGAAGCAGAGACAGAGCAAACACCATTTCAGAAAAAAAAGATAGAGAGAGAGAGGGAGTAAGAGAGAAAGCACGAGAGACATCAGAAATCATCCAGCTTGGTTGAGAAATCCGAGGCCACCAAAAGCATTCTCATGGCCATCAGCTATCTCCACAGTGGCATGGCCAGGATGTAATGGCCATGCCGGATGGGATTTCCAACCACTGTGGCTCTGTCCATACGACGTGGGACGACGCCTCAAGTTAGTGAAGCGACACACACAGCAGACGATCCCACCCAGACGTGACCCGTTCCAGCTGCGCAGCTGCGGAAGAATGGGGGCTGACCGTTCCATGTGGAAAAGGTGGACCGTTCCATGGCATGGTGCTGATCTTTTCTCAAGCTTCCAGTGGCCTCGAGCAGGAATTCGGATCATGTCCAGTACCAGTATTCTGTTCACTTGGAGAACCCCAAAACGCGGCTCCTCCTTCCACTTGTTTCCGCTTGTCCGATCAAGATGATTGAGACCCCGGAGTTCATCGTTCCCCCAAAGTGGCAGGTCATCCTGTCTCTAGTCGTGGGATCGTCCAGCCGTGGCAAGTCGTGGGATGGCTTCGTCTCTACGGCTACGGCTACTGGAGTAGGTGTTTTCTCATGTTTTCTCCTTCCAGATATCCAAATATTTCCACATACATCCATATACCATGCATATACCATGCACATGCTGAGCATTCCCCAGAACAGCCCAGGTTCCAGAGACCACTTCAAGGATTCCTAGTTCACTAACTGGGGAACCCCCACGTGTCCTGAAGGACATCGGGTCATCCAGCTTGTCCCAAACACCCAAACACCCTCGGAGTCATTTCTTATGGGGATCGAGATGGGGATCTTTTCTGCAAAAACAGTAACGTAACCAAACAAGGCTCCCAATGTGTTTTTGGTGTCACATCAAACGGCGCCAAAAGCATCAAAAAGCACATGTTGTTCTGCCAGACCATGTGGCGTCAGGCCTTTCCATTGCACATCAGCTGCTTGACCAAGCGGGAAGGATGAGAGATCGCAGGTTGCAGACGTGTGTCCATACATAATTATGCCTAGAACCTGAGTGGCCTCTATTTGGGGTCGTCATCAGCCACCCAAAATATGGTCTTGTCATGTCTTGTCCTATCGAAACAAAGGTCATCAAAGGTCTAATGAGAGTCTAATGGGCTCTAGGGGTGTGTGTGTGTGTGTGTTCTTTTTTTGCACGCCTTTTCTCATGTGCAACTGGGTGCTATGTAAAGAGCAAGCAAAGGTCCTGTGACTTTGTCACCTGGCATCTGCTTCGAAGCTTGTGGGTCCAGCCACTTGTTGCGTGATTCTTCAGTTCTGAACATACTTGGGATTGGTGCGCCAAACGTGGTTTTGTGAGCATCCCAGTTCCAGAATTGGCCCTCCCACCCAAACCCTTCCACCACGTGCACCTGCGGCTCCCAACCCAGGAACGTGCACCTGGAGAACATGCGCTTCGCGACGCAACCTCGAAAGAAGGCCCGCTGGTCTCGGCGCTGGTCGCGCTTGACGGTGCTGCGCGTCCCGCGGCGTCCGACCTCACCAGAGTCTGAAGCGAGGCATGCGGTCTGCACTCGAGCACCATAGGTCTAGTCACAGGTCTTGTTTTGTGAGCAAAGTGTAGGGAAGCTTTTCTTGCAAATAACATGCGCAGTAGTAGAGTGACTTCTTGTCATGCTAGGCAAGTGTGCTAGTTCAACCGTTCATCCCACGCTTGCCTTTTGGTGTATGCCTCAAAGTACCACAAGGTGTTGCTACTATTTGTCCAAAAGGATGAAAAAGAAGAACTTCGAAGCAGAAGCAGTTCTTTTTCTCCAGAGCCAAGAAGCATAGTTCACAGAAAATACCAACTGAAATTCCAAAGAAGTTTCCAGAAGACCCTTTCCCCGCACCGTTCCGTTCGTGGCCACCGTCGTGTCGGTACCGGGCGTCTTCCATGCGTCCATCGCTCTGGTCGAAGAAAGCGACCGAAGGACGCGCCGTGACCCGCAGGAGTCGGGAAGTTGCTACAGTGATCAGTTGAAGCTGATGGATTTGGGCTTGAGCTGGGAGCACCCAGAGTCTGGTGTTTTTGAAGTCACACATGGTGCTTTTCCATGTCTGACTTCACAGTGTGAAGTTGTTTGAAGTTGTGTGTTTGGGTTTGGTTCGCCGGACGTGATGCTGCACGCGATATGTCGCATGAAGTGCATCTCATGACATGCTGAGTACATATCCCAGCATGAGTATACCATATAGGTATATGCTGGGATATGCATATGTACTGGGAGTATATACCTGATATACCTAGTCTATACCTAGTATACCTGATAGGTATATGCTGGGATATGCCACTCAGATGGTAGGTCAAAAAGATGGTCTGTCTCACTCATGGCATTTGTATCAACACATCGGAGGATCGGATTTCGCGGACGCGGTGTCGGTGTGCGTCATGGTTTGGAACAGTGTCGGTGTGCTAGTGTCCACACCATGGATCAATCAAATTGGAGTACATCTAGGAGAACGAAAAGCAGCTTCAAAGCAATACAGGCCCTTTTCCGGACATGTAAAGCCCCAAACGTCATAGTGAATTTGGGGAGAGATGGAATGCCCTCAATGGTTCACAAACAACTAGTTTTCTTGGCGGGGTGACACCATGTAAGGCCGAAAATGTCAAAGCAATAGTACAAACCTTGTAGTTAAACCGTTAAACCATGTTAAACCACCTCAGTCACTGAATCAAGTTTTTAAATTGGATCTACTACAAAGCAACAAGAATCTTGCATATATATAGGTTCTTGCAATTAGTAAGACTGGTGGTGAACTGGGAACAGATACGTGAATGAAAATCACCAGACAGGTGCTGACCGAGGCCCATCAGAGTAGCTAATGAAAAATCAAGGCAAGGTAGTACTGTAGTTCTTTTGGAAGCCATATCTCAGGACAAGGTGAACCATCTCCTCCCAAAATCTCCCAAAACCAATGGTGCAATTTCGCCAGATGTGTCCACCGAATTCCGGGGTATGGATGTATGGCCATCACCGGCCATCACCCAGGCCTCAACCAGCCCTGTGGATCGATCGTCCCCCCAGGCCTCAACCGGAAGCTGATCCCCGGCATCCTCAACGCCGCCTCCCAGCCCGTCACGGAGAGACCCGGCCGAGCGGAGCAGCGGAGCTCATCCCGCGCGCCGCGTGCGGAACGGCCTCCAGTCGTAGCAAGAGAGGTTGAGAGACCGCTTCACGTTCGGACCCTGTAGTAGGTGGTACACGTGGGATGGGCGACACAGGGCTGTTCAACCTCTCTAGGTACCGAACCTGAGAAGGTGGGACTGGGGTGGGTGCCAGGAGGGTCCAGTCATACCTTCTCAGAAATTACGACTGGAGGTATAGGGATCATAGAGCGGCATCGGTTCATTGAGCTGCAACGCCACGAGTTTTGGCACCAGGAGACCAACGCCACGCTGCCGCTCCTGGCACCTTTGGGCATCCTGAATTCCTTAGGCACACCGGCGGCGGCGGCGGCGACTCGACGTGGACGATGCAATCTTTGTGGCCGATGTTCAAGCGCTTTTTGACCCCCCTCCAGACCCTCCCATTTGAGTGATGTGATCCAGAAATGTGATGTGATCCATCTCAGTGGTGTGATCCAGAATGCGTTTCACGAAACTCCAAAAAGAGCGAAGAGGATGGGGAAATGGGGCGCGAGCACGGGCGGTCCGCGGTCATCACCGAGTGCATGCCTGGGGCCTGGCCTGGCTTTTTGGGCGATCCAGTATCGAGCGTATCTTGGGGTGTTTCTGTTTTACGACCTCCCAGCCGGATTTATAGGATGTACAGGCTTTCTATATATTTTTCCAGAGGTGGAACTGAGGGTTCTTCCTATTCTAATACATACTCATTTATACTCATTTATTTCTACTCGGTGCATGCAGGTATTTGGGAGGTTTGCCAGTGAACACTTCAGGTTTCTTGTCCCTGTGGGTGAATGCCCTTTGGGCGGGAGCATTCTTGTCCCTTTGTCCCAGTTCCTTAAGTTTATGAAGCAAATCCAAGACATGTTTCATAGTTCAAGTCAAGATTAAGGACTGGTCATCGTAAACCTACTGTAGTCTTTCTAGTCACCTTCCAGTTGAAGGAGTGATCTTGGAAAGGAATACGACACCCCTTTGTTGGCCTTCCACTGCTACCCTGGTGGGTGCAGAAATATAGAGTGCAACTAGCTTCGGGTTGGAGTATATTGATGTGTGTCCTCCGAACTTTTGAGGCCCGAGCCTGGTTTGGCTCGATCCTCCCGAGGGCTCCAGTTGCCTTGAACATCTGAAAGCAGCTCCGCCTGGTGTGCTGAGACCGCAATCTGGGTGACTTGAAGAGGAACCATGGATGGAAACTCTGGAAACATGGGCTGTGATGTCCATGTAATGTCTCCAAAACATCATGTCAAGCCACCTGAAATGCAGAAACGTTGTCTTGCTTGGATGGACCACTTTTCATCCCCGATTAGCGAGTGAAAGTTGCCCAAAAGCGAACCTGTGCGAGGCTCCATGTGCTTGCCGCCCGAGAGCCAGGGCGTGGCTGGGCCGAGAGAGAGAGTTCCCCGGTCAGCCCAAGTAGTAGGCAGGGAGTGAGAGTCGCATTGCGGCAAAGTCCGAAGTCCATTCATCCAGACACTCCCTTTGATGACTTATTTTGAGGAATTTCGAGGATGACGACCTTTTCACCGCTTAGACAATGAGTCCCGTTCGACGGAGCGGTTTCTTGAAGTAGTTCTTGAAGTATTGAACTACTCCTTGGGGGAGTCGTATGCTCTCTTGGTGCCCCTTCTCACATGTGCACCAGATGACCAGACCTCCCCCGTCTTCGCCGGTGCGCTACGTACGTAGCGCAGTACGACGCGCCGCGGCCCGGATGGGCTCTCCGGAACGGCGCGGAACGGCTGCGCGATCCTCTCGTGGCGTGTTCCCTTCGAATGACCGAGGTGTGTAGCTCCTACGCCCAGTTGGCGACGGCGGCGCCCTGCATGCTGCGACGGACCGATTCGATGGCCAGGCGTCGGCGAAAACGCGGGCGCCGGTGAAGCAGAAGGGGAACCGGTTTTTGTGGGGTTCGGAACCGAGGGGTTTGGAGGCAAGAGTTGAAGTCGATGAGGAGCGAAGGAATCTGCAAGGGTGACAGTGGAATTTATATACATGGAATATGGGATGACATGTCGCTGATTTGTGGGGATTCTAAGGATGGTGCTGGGACAATCCCCTAACGTTTGATGGTTTCATGGGCTGGTTGCCAGGAGGGGTTTACAGATGTTATGCATGTGGTGGGTGGTCGACTCACGATGTCGATGAGTGCGGCTTTCATGATGCGATGGCTGTGCTACAAACCTTTGTGGTGGTGTGCAAAGCAAGCCTTTGAGCGCTCTTGGAATCTGGACAAGCTAAGTTTGGGCGGACAGCCAATTGGATCAAATGGGTGAAGGTCGAATTGTTTCAACCTCAGTGAGTTTGCAGGGACTTGGGTGGCGGACATGAGGACATGAGACGACGAAGCTTCATGAGCCGGCGTGATCTCGGCCCTGAAAGAGGGCGAAGCCACGCTACGAGCCGTCGTTCGGCGGACCTTGGCATCTCTACGTAGCTGGAATAGTAGCTGGATTTAGAGAAGACACCATGTTGTGTTTAACCGGCCAATGCAGGCCACGCTGTGCAATCCACTAAACATCACTAAACTGAAAATGATGCAATCCGTGCAATCCACTCAGACTGAATGTGTGAATGTGCAGTCACACTGTAAAGGAAAAGCCGTAGCTCCACCACACGCAGCCGCTCACTCACCATCCCTTCCGGTTTTCTCGTTTTGAGAACACCGAACACACTTCCAGCTGCAATCTATCATAAGCTAGCTTCCATGTTTTGTTTTATTTTTTTTAAGAGATGCTTCAGATGCTTCTCTGGTGGACTTAAAACAATATCAGGACCACAACCAAAGCCCCTTCTCCTGAAGGGGGGGCAGAAAAACCATGAAAAACCTCCCGGATCCGGCCGATCTCCTTAACGGATCCCGCAGATCTCCATCACCGACGCTGCAGCGGGGGAACTCACAGGAGACCGGGGGTGAAGTGGGCCGACACACGGGTGAAGAGACCGGAGGTTCCACGGAGCTGTGTAGAGCGTGGAGCTCCACGGAGCTGTGCACGTAGATTTGGATGCCGGTCATAGCAATAGGACGCCAGTTGACCTACCCAGGTGTTGGGGTCGTTGGCTACAAGGAGAACAAGGGCGAGGCGACCTTGGTGGGTCACGACCCATCACGTATGAGTCCCCATCCGCAGTCCACATAGGTCGTGCAATAGGTACCATTGGTGTCCGGACCGAACGTGGGTTGGGGTCCTGTTGTTTTGCGTGCTTTGCATGTAAAAACCATGTGTGCGCAGCACGTCCGATCATATGGGAAAGCAAGTGCTTCATACTGTACCAACTCCGTACATATCAGTACAAGGAAGCCAAGCACGACAAGGACACGACAAGGGGTCCAGATGCTTCTCCGAGTGATGGGCTCCAGCGAGGTTAAGTGGTCTCTACGCCTCAACCTACCCACTCAGTGGATAGCCTTTAACCTTTTTTAGGGCTTTAGGGAAAGAACAGTTGGACAAGGGTTGACCTTTATGTTGTTTTTTCCAGGGAAACTGAGGGATTTGGTGACATGAAGATTGCAAAAAAAATTGCGGAGTTGTGTCGAACTTGGCTCCTATTGGGAGTCATTGGCTTCGTAAATTCCAGCGTGTACTAAAGATCCACCACCTTCTACAACAAGCCTGCAACCCAAACCAGCTTTGTGCGCCTGCTGACCCAAGCAGCCAGTTTTAGTTCAGAGAATCAGACACAAAAAAGGAACCGCTAAGCTATCTACATGATGTCAATGCCAAAACAAATGTCGAAGCTGGCAGTGACCCCTGAAGGAAAAGATCTTGTTCAGACCTCCTGGCATGTGGGTCCTCCATCCCTCAGACAATCATGGGTCCTAAACCATGATCAATGATCCTCTGTGTTTCACGGTCGTGTTCAGCTAGTGACTCACCAAGAAGGAGGTGTAGATCGAATCTAGACTATCTCAGATGGACGAGCTATGACTGAGCTGAGCTGATACCTAGCTATGACTCTTTCCAGCCATGACTCACTGGTCAGAACTGGTTGCCCCCTTTTTCCAAAAGAAGGTCTCCATCTGCGCCGCGACCGCGAGACCGCCGCGCTGCAGGAACTAAGCTCCATTAGCTCCTTGGGCCAAGACTCCTCGGCACAGCGAGCACAGGACGCTCCGAGAGTGGGTTCTTCTGGGCGGAGTGATTCTGAACGCGGCGAGTGAACGCGGCGAGAAGAAGAAAAGGTGCTGGTTTCATGGGACCAACCAGCGTTTTTGCAGGGTTTTGATGTGATTTACTGGTGTCACACGTGTTTCTATTCGGAAGAAAACTCATGTCGTCACACTCTTTGCTTGGCGAACTGTTTGTTTCAACCATCACCGTCCAGTTGGGGTGGTTATTGGATGGAAAATACACACCTCGTCGGGGGGGTCCATCAACTACCCAGCTTCTGGGTGCTGGAAGAGACTTGCTGAATTGAAACCTCCACGTTCTCGTGCTTTTCACCTCACCTCGGCAGGACTTGCTGCTTTTGCTGCAAGCAGGTGACGTCCGAGCCTCAACGTCCGAGCTCCATGCTCAGCCCAAGTCTTCAAATCATTCGGAACTTTCAACCCAACCTGCAAAAATACTTTTGGTTCAAAAGCCGCAGAAAGATCAGAAAGAACTCGTTGCTTTGGTTTGAAGCGCTGGGGATGGCTTCAAAGGGGCTTCGGTTTTGGTCCACGGGATTCCCAGCTAGGATTTCCCCTCTCAGATGTGGTCCCATCTTGGGCAAATCGACACATTGGATTGGCATAGAAGTTCGGGATCATTCAAAACCCCTTAAACTTATGGTGTCTATTCTGATTCGGCACTATTCTTGGGAAATCAAATGATCCCAAGAACAAAAGCTCCTTGGGATGGATAAAAATCCGTCTTTCGGTCGTCCAGTCCACTTGAAATCCGACGTCCAATCCCGTCCATGAAGGTCGAAATCCATTCAAAATGGCACTGTATTGGAAACGGAGTATTGGATGGTATTCCGTTCCGTTCCATTAAACGTTTCTTCCAGTTGAACTGGTAGAACGGATGATATTGGATGGACTTCCGTCGCTTCGAATCCTGAACTGCCCATACAGAACTGCCGTCAAGAGCTGCTGTGGACAGCAGAGCAGTTTCGCATTCGTTGGAGCACATGCACTGCTCCACGAAGATCCAGTGTTTGTTTGTTCGAAAAGAAAGAAACAACTCATTGATTAATGGAAGGATTTGGAGCTGTTGTGTTTTGGAAGCACTCTGTGTTTCGTGCTTAGATACCAGGCATGAACTGGTTTCCGCTCAGCTTGCAACGCTTGCTTTTGATGTGTTTGAGGTTTGGTCCACTGGCTGTATCCTGCACATCCTGCTTTCCGGTCAAATCCCCATGGTCGAGGAGGGTGACAAGGGAACCGAGGCGCGTCAAGTGGGTTGCCATGATCATACCTAGCACTTCCAATGGGCTTTCCTGTCTGGAGACCTGTTTACGTAACAAGTAGTGTAGGGTTGTGCCAGGCGACGGACGCAGCTGGTATGTTTGAAATGTTGGTATCAAGCGACGCCTTTATTCCACTGGGTGAATGGCTCTGATGTTGCACCACCCTGAGGCCGAAATATCAAACATCCCCATGCACAGTCGGGGGTTGCGTTCACGTGAACGCACATGGATTTCTTGGCAGTGCAAGGAGAAAAGCCAGATATGGAAGCCGTGAGGTATCATTTCCCCACCCAACCAGTATAGAAGGTGATCTTTCATACTAATTGTTCCACCCGCGGGCATTGAAGTTAGAGGGGACTCAATTAACTATAGCCAAGAAAGAACTGAAGGCTTGACCTTGAAGACCATTATTGAAGGGCTTTCAGCTGAAGTGGTTGACTCTTCACCTGATTTGGCCAACCTCAGCCAGCCCCCAGCCCGACCCCAAACCCCTTGCGGGGAAGCCAAGCCGCCCAGCCCAAGCTGCCGCTCCTGGCCTCCTCGTCTTCACCCGCGGTGGAGATCTGTGCGCAACTGCTGCACGGGATGCCCCGGAAGCGGGCCACGGCCGACGCTGGGCGATTCGTCGGGCGGCAGTCCTCGTCCACCGGGGACGGTGACCATCCGTCCACGCGTGCTGCACGGGCAACACTTGACGTGTCGGCGGTACAGGGCGACGGTGTGTGGTTCGGGTGGATGGAGGGCAACAGTGAATCTCTACATAGGGCGTTGGGCAATTACACTTTCAATATGATTGTGTATCTTGGGTGGCCCTGCGGGCCATGTTGTGGTTTTAAGTAGATTATAAGTAATATATATATATATATATGGTCAAATGGGTTTTTCATGTAGTTTTTCGTGTAGACCAAAGGGTCAATCGCAGGTTGCGCCAGTCCTTAGTGGTGACGCTCGCATCATGTCCGAGGCTTGTATCCAAAAAGCATTCCAGGAAAGGAGAAGCATCGTTGATCGAAGGAGTCCAAGAAAAACTTGCTGGCAGAGCAAGGAAATTGTTCGCGCGCCATCGAAAGATTGTATTCCAAGTTGCGCGCTGGAGGGTTGTAAGATGCGGGTCGTGCATTGGTAGCGCGTGGTAGCGCCAGCTGTTTGCTTGTCGGCTCAGCCGGCTCAGCAGCGAGCTAAATTTACGACGCAGGGTCGATTGTCATGGCGGCAGCGCCTGCCACGTGGAGAAACACGGATGAACTCAACTCAACAACCAACTGGCAGCGCTATGGTACAGGAGGACGCGTGTTCTCAGTTGTTTATGACGGAATCACCCACCTCTGAAAGCCTGACGAAAAATATACAACAATGTGTGAATGCTATCGTGCTGAGGCCGCCCGGTTACCAAGCCATAGGAGATCAACTGGTATGCGCTCACAGACGCACAGAAGCGCGAAAGATTTCGCAAAATGGTCTTGCCGGCCTTTGAAACGCTTTGCGGCAGCAGTCATCACTTGGACGCACTCTTCAAAAGGGCGGTTGTCATGGTTTGCGCAGAGGCTACTCCAATCGGCGCGGCGACTGTTTTCCTCTTCTGGGCTGATTTGATCACGTTTCTGCACAGCAAAAATCCATCCAACTGGCGCAAAAATTGTTAAAGAATATTAAGGATTCAATATTGTTGTTGCCGAGTCGTTGCGGTCGAGTTTTCTTACGAAAGAGCGGTGCAATCTGAAACACATAGAAAATACTAGCCAATCAAACCTGAAAGTTTGTTGTTCATGTGAACGGTGACTTTGGAACAACAACAATGTTGTTTCGCCTGTATATGGTCATGTCATCAAATTGTCGCCGGACAGAACGCCTTCTATGTCCTCCCAAACGGCAAGGGGCAGGTTCCCACACGCCACTCACGCATAGTAGAGTGGCTGAAACCACACGCCAAGCAAACCGTGGACAGATGGTTGCAATTTCAGGCCAGGTTTTCTGATGTGTTGAGTATAGGCTTTGTTGCGTGAAATGGTTTGTCACAATGCGCACAATGGTGTTTTGCCGAACCGTTTCGTTACTTTGTTTTGTTGGTGTCAAGTGATTCTTGCAAAAGTTTGCTGCACTTGCCTTGCTCGTGCTATGCTGCTAACCCCAAATGCCTGGGCCCACCTGGTCAGTGCCATTCGTTTGAGGGTGTGCCAGGTCGCCAGCCCAGCGTGGCAACGGAAAGCGAAGGAACGTGGCTCACGTGCGGTACAACTGCGAAGCATCCGAATGCTACTAATAGCAAGAATGCTACTCTGCTACTACGGTAGATGGACGAAATATTCAAACCCTTTCAACCACGTGGCGACAGTTATTGACACAGGGGTTTGAATATTTTGTCCATCTACTGTAGTAGTAATGCCCTTTGTTACCAGTGGCGATGCCCTTTGCTCGATGCGTAGTTTCTTGTTACTAGTAATGCCAGGAGCTACGTTCGTAGCGTCGTTCGCGTCGTTGCTCCTAGTAGCGATGCCCTTGCCACTAATGTCCGAGCACGGCTCAGAATGGAACCTGGCTCACTTGATGCGACCGAAGTGCGAGGAAGAGAAAGTGAAACAAAGCAACCAACTGCATGTTTCTTTGAAAAAAAGGTCCAAGCAGGGATCCGTGAAATTCAGAAAGTGTCTGTGCAGTTCAAGCTTTGCATTGCAAGCATCTCCGAGCAAGTGCAGCACCACCATGTTTTGTTTCATGTGCCTTTGAACACTGCAAATATGGCAAGGCTGCTTCACCAACCTGGCCCCTGCTAGGCCATGCAAGTCCTGTCTGTAGGAGGTAGTGTCACCCTCCCACATGGCCGTGCTCAGTTGCTTCATGACGACCCATGGCAGTCGACCCATACCGATGGTGAACCAGCGACGGATCAGGGGGGTTGTACATCTATACATCTTGCATCGGCATGCATGGGCACCATGTTCCTAGAAACAGGCTCATGTTCCTCGTTCTCCCAGCGTCTCGGGATAGGACACCGCAGAACCATGATTAAATCTCAGAGAGCTTAGGATTGCGGTACTAAGAAGGCTAAAGGAGTGAGGCCAAACTGCAGACTGCATAGTTCTTTGAGGAAGACTTGGAAGTTCAGCCTCAATTGTTGCTGGCAGATGACTTTATAGATGTCGGGGCCGTTTAGACGCCCCTCGAACGCCCCGTTCCTCTTGCGTTCCATGGGTTCTAAGGAAATGGCCTTGGAGCACTCCTGGTTTGCTCAGTGTGAAAGCATTCAGAAAGCCCACAGGCATGGCCTAGACAGCGTGGTTCATCCAGTTGAGGGGTGAAGCTGGCTCAGGCCCATTTTCTTCCAGTTTCAGTTTCTGGGGCCCAACCGAAACAAAATCAGGCAAACGTGTGTGCGGTTTCTCAAGTCCCCTTCCTCTTCAACTACTCTAGAGCGAGATTGGATATAAATCCATAACTTACCTGGCTGGTCCATGCTTTTTGAATGCCTGGTTTGCGTTCCTCGTTCAAAAAACGTAGGTTCTTCTCTCAACCTATTGACCCTGAAACTTTGCATGCGGATCCCAGGTTTGCACCATGCTTCATCGCTTGTTCGATGTTTGCACGCGGTCGTCCACGTGTCGTTGAGTCAGTCGCGTGTCCTTCCCCCACACGGCCCGATGATGCAGGTCGCAAAAGAAGAATATGCTGGGAGCTTGGCCAATGCTTCCGTGCTTAGAACGGGCTTCAAATCAGACTGAGCATGGTGACTCCACATGGTGAGCGACTTGTTCATCTGAAAAGGCACTTGTAATACGAAACATCACATCCGTCGAAACAGACCGGCAACTTTGGAGTGTGTTCCTTCACCAGTAACTTCACATGTAACATCATGTGCCTTAAAAGCAGACCGTCTAACCGTCTACCCACGGCTACACGCTTCCACCCTCGGCCTTTCACCGAAGTCTGACAGAAGTCCTGTCTTCGCAGATTCCAAGGTCGTTGACCACGGCGCGTGCCGCGGAGTTCTGGGAACGGCTGCGACAGACGTTTGGGCACCCAGCACCGTGGTTCCGAGACGGTGTTTGGTGGTTTGATGCAGGAGTTGGCCACTACCGAGTTATGGATTGATGATGATTCATGGATTGAACCCTGAGTACTGAGGTAGGTGGTAATTGCCTTGATTATGTGTGATGTCGTTTCCCTTCAAGGAGTTGCTGGGCACCTTGGGAGTGAGTAGCGTGCAAGACGGAGTAAGAAGCTCGATCAACCACACGCGAAGTTTGGAAAGACTAGGAAGTTGATCAACCACTCCAATGACCCACGTCTACATATGTCTACATAGCCAAACAGCAAAACATGATAAAACATGAGGATGTCCTGTCCAGTTTCTTTTCCTTTTCTTGCTGTTTTCGACAGTCCGCCCAAAAACCTGTCAGGTCAGCAATGACATGCCTCCGACGGTTGCTCCTTGACAGCAGGAACCGTCAGGCATTTCCGGGTGCAACCCTGCCAGATGTGGCGGGTTGTAGGTTGCAATAACGAGCTGCGGAAGCGGTACTTTGCGAGGGTTGAAAACCAAGGAAGTGAAAGTCCTGCACGTTCATAGAGACATATAATATATACAGATACATATATATATAGATAGATAGATAGATAGATAGATAGATACCAGTAGACAAGTCTTTCTCTCTCTGTCACACAAACACCAAGAACATGTTCTTCAAGTAGAATAGAAGCTGAAATTGATTATTTACATAAGGTTCCAGTATCTCCCCATCGGAGTTAATATGAAGGCCGAACTGGGTGAAACTATGTCAGGCCTTCCCTTTGATACACTCGGAATGTGGTGCAATGCCTGATTAGAAGTTTGAGATTGTATCGCAGCAGGAGTAAAGCTTTTGCAGAGTGAAAACGTGTGGCTTTTTCGGATCAAGGCACTCAAGCCTTGTACGATCTATTTCTGGGCGAGGATAGACTCTTTCCTGGACAGGTCAGCTCTGCTTTGCTTCTTGCAGGACAGATTCCATATCGCAGATGAATGAGGCAGGTGATGACCCCTCTGAAGAGAAGACCGTCTCTTATCGGTAAATAGTTCAGAGTTCCGCAGAAATCTTATTGCTGCTTTGGGCTTGGCTAAAGTGTTGGTCGGACATGATCTCTAATGGCTACATGGTCTACGAGCAATTTCCTCAGCCTGGCGGGCCAGATATCAAGTTTTTGGCACCACTGGCCGTGCTAGTGGTGGGGCTGTTCATGACCAACTTGCTTGGATGTGTGCATTTTGTTCGACAGGGTCTTTGGCCTGAGGCATGCATTGCGGCCGTGGACATAGACACTCCATACTTAGCCTACCAACATGGAAAGCAAGCGGTGCAAGGCCAGAACTGTCCTGAGTGGGAAGCACTTCGGCTGCGCAACTCACCTTGGCGCAGCCTGCCACTGGCCATGGTGACCTTCATGTTAGCTTTCCGAGTCATCTTTGAGATTCCTGCTTGCCGAGCAATAGCCACACTTTCGGCGTTGGCAGTTGGAACTTTTCCTCACCTCAGTAGCGAGTCTTTGTGGGTACAGGACATGGAGCGGGATGGGCTGAATGCAACGGAACTCTCCTTCGTTCGCAACATCAAGGACATGGCAGAAAAGGTTCCTTCAAATTTCAGTGAATCAGGCAGAGACAGTGCCAGCAAGGCCTTGAAAATTGAGGGTGAGGCATGGACTGCTTGCCACTGCAGCGATTCACAATGGCAAATTGCAAAGCTTGGCGAAAGCCAAGATGCTGTACAAAACTGGGTCGGGCGTTCAGTTGTCCTTGACCTGGACAGAAGCGAGCTTGGAGGTATTGGTTCAGGCAACCTTTTGGCCATGAACTTTGTCTTCTTTCAGAGAATGAAAGCAGATGCAATGGAAAAGGAGAGTTTCTTGAGACCTCAAGTCGTAAGACTCGTCGCAGCACAGCACTTCAGCTTTGCGGTGGGTTTTCTTCGTGGTTTAATGCGCGACTTGCCTTGGGAAGACCTTGTGGAAAACTTGATGACATCGGTCGCAGGCAGCCTACAGAAGACAGGAAGCATAATCTCCGCTGTAACTTTGGACAGACCATGGACCTTGAGCGTCAGTGACAACTTCACCTTGCAGATAGACAACGGGTGGAAGCTGCACCTGTTCCAAACGTTCACATTGCTTTTGGTGGCAATGCTGCCTGTTCGCAAGAGGATCCTTTCATCATTTCAAAGGCCTAGCCAGCTACTCAAGGGCTTAGTGACGTTGCATATGAGTCTGGACATTGCATGCGTCGCGACAAGCTGGATCCTTTGTGCCTTGAAACCTTCTGCTTACCACCTTGGAAACTTAGCGAAGACGATGATAGATGAGTCTTGGAGAATGGCAAAGCAACTCATTGAATCTTCGAGCGCTATATCTCCAAAAGACTGGCCAAAGGCCATGCCCGGATGGTATGCTGAAGCCTTGATAAAGATTTGCGCGAGGGCATATCAGATCCTCAGTGCCGACTTTGTGCCATCCCTTGCATGGGACTGGCGGTTCTTTCTTCAGCTTGCCGCTGGCTCCCTGCTTTTCATAGCAATTTCAGCAGCACTGGCCTACATTCTTTGTCAGGACCTGACTACTTCTCTACCTGTTGGCGTTTGTGGGCCACTTTGGCTTGTCACTGGGGAGATAAAGAGCGTGAAGGGCTTGAAGACAACCACTAGAGCGGCGTTCATCCTGATGCTCTCCCGCACCATGCTTCTTGGTACCATTGTTGCTTTGACATGGAGTTCCGTGGACGCGTTCTCACTGCAGTTCTTTTTTGCTGGGATCTGCAACAGGGTCTTCAACGTGATCGCATTGAAGGGACTTTGGCTGGGTGTGCTGGCGTTGCATTGCATGTCCGGCCTTGCAGCCATTTTCTTTGCGCAAAGAAGCCTGGAGATGCAAGAAGAGATGGAGGAGAGTCGGTTTCCTGATCATTCCGAGGGGATTGGCGGCATTTGTGCCTATGGCACTTTCCCCTGAATCGCTGCATCTGTGACTGCTGTGGCGATAATGAAACCACGACACGTGCCGCTTGTGTGAAGGTTAACGTGCTGGAGATCAAACAGGTTTCCTAAGATGTGTGTTAGAGGCAGAACTTAAGGAGAACTAGCAAGAAGCCCGCAATCTGCCAGCTGCCAAACTTGTTTTCAAGGTGCAAGGCGATTGCTTTGGCTGCGCCGCACCGTTAAACTAGCAGTTGGTTTGCTTCTTCACCAAGCCACCTGTGTGCCTATGGCGAACCCAATAGTGATTTAGCCAAAACAACAAACTCTGATGTGTGGAGAAATCCCAAGGTCAAAGAAACATTGAGTTCAGGTAAATGCATTCCTCGAACGGAGTTTTAGCACTTCTTGGACCATGTGACCACTTGTGAGTAGTCACTCCTCATAGTGAATCCACACAGTGGAGTGGACTATGCCATGCAGGAACTTCTGCGTTCTTCCACCATCGCTTGTCAGGTTCCACTCGGTGCGGAACGTGCGTCGCATCCAGGGACTGATGATCCCCGGACCCGAGGAGGTTGGATGGAGCGGGTAAAAGGGCGGAGAGGTGGACTAAACAGAGATGGATATAGATGCAGTTCTTGTGATGACACAATTGCCACTGTTGATCCTGATGACCACTGCCGATGTTATTTGGCCTGTTTGTGTGTGTGTGTGTTTGTGCTTTTGTTGTTGACTATTACTAACCCCTGTTCGGCCAAAACTTGGCTCTCATCCAAGCACCATCTGTGGCCATGAAGGGCACTGAAAGAGCTGCGAAGTCGGAGTGCGTGTCACCCCTCAGTTGGATACACTACACTCTATGTGCACACAATACGTACCTGTACACACAATACATACCTATTCTGGATCATCAACCTCCCAAAATATGGTTATTTCCTACGGGCTCAGAATGGCTCAGATATGGGCTCCAAAAAGATACACACAGTACGTACGTACACCACACACCGCGACCACCGCACCACACGTCCGCACTCCGGTGCCAGCGCCTTCTTCCCCTCGCGCTCACAGGACAACGGGGATCCCGAGACCAATGCCCGAGCGGCGGCGGACGCGATGTGTGCCTCGTCGCTGTCGTTGGGGGGGGTCGGTGGACCGGCTTAGCAGCCCTCTTTGGGCGGGAGAGAGTTGGAGTTTCAAGAAAGCGGGAATCAATAGGAATCCTGAGAATCATGATTGGGATGATATGGATGATTGAAGAATATTGAAGAGATTGTGTTTGTTGAATCAAAAAGTTCATCATCAGAGTTGATTTAACGGAAAGGGTCTTGGATGAATCATAGAGCTTTAGTTCAGCAAAACCATGTCATGTGCTTTTCAGGGATGTGTGCATCAGCGGTTGACCCATTCTCCTTCCCAACCTCACCCATCCTGTGACCGGAGACTCCGCGGAGTCTCAAAAGCTATACACCATATTCTGTGTTGGGTGGTATTTGGGGTGTTTTGGGGGATCAATTAGACTCCTTGCTTCTAGGTAGCAAGGCCTTGCACTGAAAAACCAGGCCAACCCTTCAACCGGCCATCACCCGTTTGCGATGTCCCGACCGCTTCTCCGCACCGACTGACGCGGCCTTCTTCAGGTGCCGAGGCCTTCGAGTGGTTGCTCTATACCTCGGGCGCGACCGCGGCGGGCGGCATCCCCCTGCGGAAGTTGCTCCTCGGCCAAAGACTACCCAGAACGGCCATGATAGGGCCGTTCAGGGACCTTTTTCGAGGGTATCATCCCTGAGAATTGATCCGTTCAAATTCGACAACAAGTCTTTTCATGGTCTTTGAAGACTAGGGTGTCATACAGTCTTCCTAAGATCCCTATAAGACTCTTTGAGTTGCTCCTGGGCCGAATAAAACGATCTTCGCGTCGCTGCACGGCATCTGCATGTGCAGCAAGAAGGTTCACCACCCAATGTCGATCCATTCACGGCTCGTCCGGGGCGAACGGCTGCGTTTTTGGAGGAATTCTATGATCCAGAGCGTGATCCAAAGCGAGAAATCCAACATCCCACGGCATGAACTGGAGCTGCTCGGCCTGCCCGCAGATGAGATGAGCCAGTTACAAATCACATTTGAAGAAAGTCACTATGGGATCAACCTTCTGTGCCACAGAGATAGGGATTTGGAAGCACTAAAGATCCACAGAAAAATGGGAAAGATGTTTTGTGCAAATTGACACAGGAACCTAGCGATGCAAACACCATGTGCGAAAGCTTTAATATACGAGTGCATGGCAGTGTTCGTCATATTACTTTTCATGGAAAGGATGTTTGGTCCAAACTGGCCCCAGGCGCACGGGTCGCGGGTCTCTTCTACCACGGGTCGATCCATCAAAGGCCTTCATGGAGAAACGCACCGGTGTCCGTATCATGGTAATCCATGTGAAATGTAAAGATGAATTGAATGCACGTGACGTGGTAAAGAGGAAATACACTCCCTGAGATCATCCTTTGCATACGGGTGTGTCTTGGAATAGGGAGACAGCCCAAATACCACCTTTTCAGAAGGAAGTTTGCCCATCATTGGGCCATATGTGTTTATCAGATCCAGGGCCCCCGGATGGCATTGATAGCTATAGCCATATGTGTCTATCTCTTTAAAGGAACAGAACCTCCTCTGGTCCAAAAGGCCTCCCATCTCTCACAGAAAGAATGGCGTGGCGCATGGGTGTTTGGCGCGAACCCGGCACGGCGCACTGATGGACCTCCCATCTCACTGAGGATGCTCAAGGTGGATACCTTGATCTCCAGCAGCCAATTCGCCGAGATGATTTGGGCCACCTGTGCCTAAGAGGTGAGACGACCCGTCCGACCGTTGACGTTGAGGCCACCTATGTACTATGCTGTGTAGTATGTGTATGTGTGTTTACTGTGTATGCTGTGTAGTATGTACATATAAATATAAATATATATATATATAGCTCGGTGCGACATAGTGCGGTAAGAAGCGACTGGTGTCAGCCTTGTTGGAATGTAGCTTTGTGATCTTTATGAATCTTGATAATCCCGGATGCAAATCAAGCTATTTGGATGCTACTAGGTGGGAAAAAAGGCGAACTCTCTCCAACCAGCCAAGAGCTCCTTTGTTGGAATCTACAGACTCCTGGGTTTCGTATCCCGGGTATCCCGGGGATCGATCTGTTTCAGATCGAACCTGAGGTTGGAAAGCACCCAAAAACTGTGGTCCATGCCATCAGGTTCTATGTGTTAACTTGCCGGGTTTTTACTGGTGCTGCTAGATTCCTTCCATCAACTGTGGTTGGAGACAGATGTCAAAGTTTCATGGATTGGATGTGGACAATGAGAGTTCCTTTACATTCAAAACAACTACGGTAAATCGAAGAACTCCAAGCAAATTTGGGATAAAACTGCTGCAGCATTTCCAAGCTGTAGGCATGCATGCAGCAGGGCATGTGTACAGGCACCGTCCCCAGAACAGGCCATTTCACCAGCCAAACGGCAATAGCAAGCAGCTTGGCGCTGTCGGTCTTGACTTCTGCGATTTCCTCGTCACCTCTCAACATGACATCTCGGGAGGAGGAAGGTCTCCTCGGTTTCGATTGATTTCAGGCGGGAAGCAGTCACTATTTGGGCCACTAAAAATGGATCTACCATTCATGCTGGCGGTGATCGTCATCCGCTGGCCACTTCGTGTAATGAGAAGCTTGTTTTGCAGATCTTAAGTGCTGACTGTATCCGCTCTAACAGACTCTAACAGTCGGAGAAACATGGAGAAACCTGTGAATCACATCACTCATCATGGGATTAAGGCAACTGTTAATTCAACCAGTACCCAGGCTGTCCACGCTGCAGCTTCCAATTTGTGTTGGTTTTTCCAGCATGTCATTTGTATCGATGTCGATAATGATCTACGTGTATCGCTGAGTTAGGCGATGGCCAGTGGCAACAACTCCACTGCATGTGAATCTAAACATTCCACGTTGTGGCCATCCGATCATCACGAAGTCCTCGACGGACATGTCTTAAACGACAGGCCTTGGGAACTGCTTCTTTGCCCTAACTTAGATGCATCAGCTAGCGCAGTTTCGTTGCAGCGGTTGCTCCTCGAATCTGGAAAAGATAGCTTGTAGAGGATCGAGCCATCTCTCTCTATCTCTTCAGATTTGGAGTTGTAGAGAAGAACCCAAAAAATGGCTTGAGAGAGAGGGAGAAAGGATTTATATAGATGATTTTAGATCCGTTCACGGTGTTGATTGCCAAAAGCCATTTGATTGCAACCGCTGGACCAACCTACACTCTAGACCGCTGGACAGAGACGGATCTGCTCTGAGAAGTTGCGACAGCGAAATCAGCAAGTCCAGAGATGGTGAAGTTGGAGGTGCACCCCGGAACTATCTCAAAAGTTTTGGACTTTACCTGACACAACTGGTATAACATGTTCTGCAATGATCTGCAATAGGATTGTGTGTTTTCTTGGATGCCCTTTCCTGAGACAGCCCCAAAGGTGTTCCTGGCCAGTCTGGCGGCCAATGTGACTGCCAATCATTCGCCAGTTTGCGGGTCAAGGTCACCACGTAAACCACCACAGTCTTCAGCTATGCCTCAGCGAAATGGCCGCGGTAAACTGAGGAGGCTCAGGGTGTTTACTCCATGAGAGCCTACAAGTGACTGGCTCACACCTGGATAACAAGGGTAGTGACAGGTTCTGGTCCCCCAAACGGGATGTAACCTAGATGCAACCTGCGTGTGTTTCCCGTTCGCTTACGAACTAACTCGGTGAGTTCGACCCAGGTGGCATCCACACCCAGCTGTCCATCTCCTTGCAGCGAAGGCCAGGGTTTTTTGATGGAAGTTCTTTCCTTATCTCAGATGGTATGAGAAGTGATGGAAGTTCGTATTAGATTACACTATATACGTAGTTGAATATGAAACATGTGATTTTTCAGAATATAGAATATAACTGTTTACCTGGGTGAAGCCCATCTTCAAGCCTTGGCTTGAAGATCTTCAATGTTTGGACAGACTTCATGACGACGCTTCGGTCAGGCCGACGCAGTAGTTAGTTCGTCCCATCACGGCAGGTTCAGAAGATTCAGTAGTCGTCGTGTGAGAAGTAGTCCTTCCTGAGGGTCGTCAGCACCCCGACGACCATGCAAGCTTGTCAAGAGACAAGCTGCCAGACGGGTGACAAGCAAACCGAAGAAAAAACACAGGTGCAGCAACCCCATGCTCGCCAGCCTGGAGCGCCAGGGGCAATCAGTTGGGGGAATCAGAGGTTTCCTCGGGATTTTGAAGTGGGATCGACCGGTGACTGTAGAGTCTGTAGAGACTGTAGGGGAGAGAAGTAATTCATATATATATATATATACAGTATTGTCCTACCCTCTGCTGTGGTTCTTGTTTCTCGGATGAGGCGGGCTTCTCTACTTTTAGAAGATAAACGTGCATAAAGGATGCCGTGATCAGGCTCTGCTTGGAGAGAACTTTGGCAAATAGACTGAAAGAAGCAACGGATAAGAGAGAAAGGAAGAAAGGTTAGAAGTGAAGGGTTCCTTTGTGTCCCAGCATCTATAAGCTATGCCAGCTTATCTCCTTACCATACTTGCCCCCTGTACCTTTTCACGTTCTACTCACTCTTCAAAGATATATGGAAACGGATAGGTCTCCAAGAGGCTTCGGTCACAAAGTCATTTCTTTCCGGACAGCATCGGGTTGCCTAAATCATCACAGGTTGCCCACACTGAGAAAATGCCTTCCAACGCTGACCAAGCCGTTCACTCCCATCGGCATGAGGGCGGCTTCTGTCATTCTCCGACCAGTTCTTTTGGCTCTCAAAAGTGGTTGGCCATCCCCCAGGAGCCCAGTGCATTTATCTCAGAGATTGCTTCAAAGGATCTCCAACAGCTCAAAGAACAACCACTCATTTTAGCAAGCAGAGCGGCCGGCGTCGAAAGAACTTCCAGCCGTTGTTGAAGGCATGTTGTGTTCCACTGATCGCTGAGGTGGAGATGAGGCCGCCAATCTTTTGCTTCACCCTCAGGCCCGGGCCCTCGGCACGATTGGAGTGTGCGTGGAAGAGATATTTTAGCAAGTAGCTAACTCGGCTGCGATGGCCTCCTCCCTAGCGATGGCCTCCAACCTAAGAGCAATGGCCGCTGGCCTCCAACCTAAGGCGATGGCCTCCAACCTAAGAGTGATGGCCTCCAACCCAAGAGCGACTAGAAGCAGTGACCTCCAACCTAAGAGCGATGGCCTCCAACCTAAGAGCAATGGCCTCGAACCTAACAGCGATGGCCTCCAACCTACTAGCAAGCCAGGGCAGCCAGGGGCCCATGTCCAGGTTGAAGAAAGAAGGAGATCACTTCCCCTGCGCCGGGAACTCTAGGAATTCTCAGGTTTGTCTTACATGATGTGCCCTTGGTAGAAAAGGAGTTCATTAATTTGATTCTGCGGCAATCTGGTTCCATTGGCATAGTATGAACCAAAGTGTCCTTGAGATGCCAGAGGTAGACTATGTTGAGGTCTTCAAGGGGTAAACGTTGGCTTTGGCTTGCTGGTCGTGCTCCTCTACCAGCTCTTGCTCTTTGCAACCGTCTGCGAAACTCACTATGACCATGACCTGACTTCCAAATTACATCCAAGAACACCATGAGCCAATTTCCGCGACTGGAAAGCAAGAAACGCCTGTGCCAGGATTTGTGCCAAGTGCTCAGTGTTCATGGAAACCATCTTTGCCCTCTAACACCCGACATCCAAAGTTCAAAGAGATGCAAGTTATCATCTCAACAGCCATAAAGGCCCATAAAGGTTGTTACACCCCGGTGTCTTGATCATTCTTAGATGGAAGGGACTGCACTCCCTCCACCTTCCTCTACAAAAAGTGACGTATTTTCATGTATTTTCCCACTTAGGCATCAGAAACGAACGAAGTCCCGAAACGAATGCTTCCCGAATGACCCGGTGGAGGCATTCCGACCGCACGGCACTGTCGCATGGCACTTCGCGCCGTGCTGACCCTGTGGAGGCGAGCAGATGAGGTCCCGCTGGGCATGAATGTGGCTTTGAACAGGCGCATGGGCATCGTATGGCATGCGAGGCGCATGCACGTGATGAAGGCGTTCCTGTCGTGTTCCTGTTTGTATGGCACTGAAAAAAACAAGGTAGGGTCAAGTTAGGCGTCTTTTTTGCACAAGTGGCTTCACCAATGTAACCGAGTGTAATGGCGAATCAGAGATACTGGATCTTTTTCACTGATCAGTGCGTTGGGGGCAGGGCTGGCCGGCCATTTGCAGGTCAGCCCTCGGTCCGCACGGACGTTTCACCCGGGTCGTTTCCAGGAGGCAAGAAGTGGTGGTGGAGAGCATCTCGCCGTGGACTGCATTGGACTCGTGGAACAAGTTCCAGGCCACCGACCTCTTGTTGGAGTTCACCGACTGGGGCGACCGGCCGGGCGGTTTTCAGCACGTGAGACGAAGGATTCGGCGAATCGGAGGACGGAATTCTCCATGTTGGCAATGAAACTTTCAGACGAAGAAGGTTGGTCTTGTTTTGTGCCTCATTGTTGGTTGAAGCATTTTTCTGCAAATTGGGTATCGACCGGATCTGTAGGACATTGTAAGGTCTTCTTCTGCTGGATTCCATCAGAATCCATTCTTCGTTCCAGCACGAGACCAAGCCTAAATACCCTTTTTGTTTGATCTGTTTCCAACAGAGGTTGAAGAACCCGAACTAGACTAGCCCACAGATACCCCAGGTGACGGGTCCTAGTTCAGGTCACTGGCTACCTCTGTTGGTTCTTTCCGGAGGGGGTCCAGTTCATGGTGTTCACCT